AATAAAAAAATGTATGCAAACATTAAGGAGTAATCATAGAAGTCCTATTTCTTTTTCCTGTTTAGTTGTCATTGTTGTATGACCGTCTCGATTGAGGCTTTACGGGGAGGGCTGCCCAGAGGTGACTCGCAGATGGAGGTGCGGGTATCCAGCTTGAGCTCGCCTGTGCCCCTGTGAAACAGAATACCTGAAACCCCATGCCCTCCCAGGCGAAACAAGGCTCTCACCAGTCATGAAAACTCGTGGTGAGAGGCATGGGTCAGTCATGATAGCGGAATGTGCTCATAAAATCGGGCATGACTTGAACAGACCAGCCCTGCCGATGCAGGACTTGCCAGCGAAGGAACGCACCGATCACGCGCAGAATGGCTTTGTCTGTCCTGGGTGCCGCCGCTCATCTTCCACTTTCCCTGCACTGAAGTGCCCCTTTCCTGGGGTTGGTCTTGGGCAGTTCAGTGGGAGCTGTTGAACAAGGGTGTTCTGTTGGGTTCTTCGGGCTCGCGCGGGTGATGGCTTGTTTTCTCCTGCCCTGTTGCTCCACCTTGCCCTGCCCCGCAGCGTGGAGATAGGGCTTCAACCTATCTTTGTCTGGTACGACCAGTGTGCGCAGAATGGGTGAAGAGTGTTTAATGTGATACCTCCAGGGGATGTTGATTTGTACAGGTGACCCTTGGGCAGTGTCTTCTCAAGCCATCCATTCCACCTTGAGGCTGGGCGTTTTTTTGTTTTAAAAGATTTTATCCATTTATTTGAAAGAGAGAGAGCGTGAGTGCGAGAGCAGCAGAGGGGAGGGAGAAGCAGACTCTCCACTGAGCAGGGAGCCCGATGTGGGGCTCGATCCCAAGACCCTGAGATCATGATCTGAGCTGAAGGCAGCCGTTTAACCAACTGAGCCACCCAGGCGCTGCGAGGCTGGGCGTTTTGATACTTTCCAGTGTTCTCTTTTCACTGTGTAAAGAATCCCCAGGGTACCATTCTACCATCTCTCCTTCCCGCACCCCTCATTTCTGTCCACGTTTCTTATTCTCCAGCAGAGAATTCCACCTAGAAGCTGTGACTGCAGTTCCCTTCAGAGGACATGTCATAATGACCCCCACTGTGTGTCACTCAGCCCGGTATCTTAAATGTTATGGGAAATCAAGATATATCTATTATTTTTAGAAAGAATTAAATTATAGAGGCTTTCCACTATTTTAAGAAACCATACTTGTGGGAAAAATATAGGAACATAAACCAGATATCTTTGCCTTCAGCTAAGAATTTTTTTTCCTCCGATATATTCTTGTTGCTACTCCCAAATGAACCCCAAGTTCCAAATATACATTATGAGTCTTTTGTCTCCTTTTAGCTACAAGTGCTGTTCTGTCTGAATCATCAGGCTTCCTGTTGTCTCTTGTTCATACTCATACCCTCCAGGCAGACTTCCCAGTTACAGGCAGGGGCAAAGATGGTATAGTACCAGATAGCATGCTCTCGTTATCCGGGCATCAGCCATCTGCGCCACGCCCCCCCCCGATCTTACCTGTTAGGCAGCTCACAGCAGTCACCAGGGATGCCTGGAGTTGTCTTGGTGATTATCAGTAGATTGTGTGCCTTTTTCTTGCATGAATATTTGCACACCTTCATTTTTAAGTGAATTTTGCAGTTTCTGGTCTGCCTTGGTGGTGGTGGTGGGCTGTGGACATCTAAAGACTGAAGGAGGAACTATAAGTGGGGAATTAAAGGAGAGTGAGAGGGTCGTCTGGGTGGCTCAGTCAGTTAAGCATCTGCCTTCTGCTCGGGTTGTGATCCCAGGGTCCTGGGATTGAGCCCTGCATGGAGCCCTGTGTCCGGCTCAGAG